AGTTGAATTGTGCAACTAAATCCTTAAAATCCATTAGAACATAAGCTCTCTGAGGACAAAGACTTTTACTGTTTTTCATTGCCATATAACCAATCTTGAACCATGCTTGGTGCATAGAAGGTAATAAAGATATACTCATTGGATGAAGTAAGAGAAGAAATAATAGAAGAGAATCACTAATGTATAAAAAAATTTAAAAATTGAAATGAGCATAAAAGTAGACATGACATAGTTTATAGTTTAATAGAAAGTACAGTAGAATCAGTGGACAAGAGCTATATTATGGAATCCTTAGGGGCTTGTACCTTTTTTAGATAAGTCATAATTTTTTATGCCTATGTTTCTCAATTTACAAATTATCTCTTCCTTCATGCTTTAAAATGGTGCTATAAGTTGTTATTAAAAAAGAATGGTAAGCAAGAACGAACAAAGACATGTGATTTGGGGCATGATGCTTTTCTGGGAATGCAGAAATGCTGATTTGCACAAACATGTAAAGGAGTCAGCAGAGAAACTGGCATGAAGCATACTAAGAAAAAGAACAGGAAGAGAGAAAGAAGGGGAACAAAAGTTTGAATTTATTGTACCATTGACAAATTAGAACATGGCTGGAGACATTTTTTTATTTTATTTTTTTTTGTATGTATGTATCTCTGCAGTATGTGTAAATACTCTTCGGTATTAAAATGCAATAAAGTTATCTGAGAGAAAAGACAATTGAAGATGCTTTGATACCTTATAATAAATATTGATACACAAAGCCAGAATGGCCTAATTAGAAAAATAAGAGATATTTAAGATAAAACTGAGAGGGTGGGAAGGTCGATGAAGGGGAAAAACTGATTTTAACAGGAAAGGAGAAACAAAGTGGGATGTGCAGGAAGAGGTGAGCCACTTGGCCATTTGCTACATGGCAGGAAAGAGCTGACCCTAGACAACCTAAGATGGTTTCAAAAGCAAACTGAACATTGTGTGGCTGGTCAAATTAAAAGCAAAAAGAGACCACCTCTACTGAAAATTGTATAAGCCCAAAACAAGAAGGCGAAAACAAAATTGAATTTTAATATTATGAACTATACTCACTTGACCAGTGGTCCCACTTTAAGTGCTTCTCTAACTGTAGATCAGATACCAGAGTGAGTCTCTAGGTCTAACTCTCTATAAGAAGGAAGAGAGGATAGGAGATAGGTAACTAATCTGCTCTCTACTCTTTGGACATCGCCAAACTTTTTAGAGTTTGTAACCTTTTACAAATTCTTTTGTAACCCCAAAAGAATTTCACAGACTCTTTCAGAATCTGGATTGCCTCCTCAGTAAATTTATAAAATAATTTGTGTCCCATGGAGGATCTTTTAGTTTCTTCTAGTTTTTAATGTCTTGGGGCTTACAATAAGTATGGTCAAAGTGGACAAAAATTATTTGAGAACACCATTCTGAAATACCAACAAGAACAGCTGCAAGAATCTAGAAGAATCTATTGGGTTAAAAATGAAGACCATTTTAAACTGAAGGGAAGAAATCTTTTGATAAATTGAATGAATCATGTTGAGCTTTGCAAATAGTAATGATTCATATTGTCACTGAGGTCACAGTAGTTTGCCATGCAACCCAATACAAAGATTTAAGACAAAGCAAAACAAATTTGGCCTAAGATGAAAATACCAATACATTCTTATATCCAAGAGTCTGTTGTCAAGCAGGCTGTCCCAAGCAGAAATACATTTTCTTTCAGGACCAGAGTTTCCTGGTTGCAATTTAATTAATCAGCTCTTTTTATAGTAATCTTAAGTTTGTAATCTTCCAATCAGTTCTTTCCAGACAAATAGAAGGTAGGAAAAAATTTAAAGCCCAGGCAAAATAATCCTACAAATGAATGGTTCAAGTATTATGTGACTTGCTAAAAAAAAGAGAAAAAATTAACTTATCATGGTGATATAATGAGTGTGGTAGTAAAAAACCACTAATCACACAGAGAAAATACAGAATTACATGTATTTTCCAGCCCTATATTAGGATCCTAAGATCTATATGTATGCATAGATTAATATAATGAAAACTTGAAATCATATTATCTTATGAAAGAAATACCCATTTTAGGAAAACTGGCATAGTCACTATATCTATAGACAATTTAAAATGCTATTTTGCCCTTTATTATAATGAAGACTATGGGTGTTTTTATTTTAAAGAAATCAGGGAGGAAGGGAGTAATTCTAGTGTTTCTAGACTAAAACCCTCATACTAATGGGTAAATTGGTTTGGGAAATAACACAGCAGACACAATTACGAGGATTGTCTCTCCTCCCCTTTCTCAGGCTCCAGGATAAAGAAGAATCAATTAGCCCTCAACAGACTATGACCTTGAAGGTTACAGCTCTGAGCATAATGTGCTGAATATGCTGAGACAGATAGAAGAGGGAGGGACTCCTGAAGCCAATGAAGAGCATGTTTCGGAAATGATACTGTCATTTAAAAATATAATTGATGATGGTTAGTTTATGTCAAAAGCATGCACGATGAAATGAAAGCTCCAGTTCCTTCTCTGAATAAGCGATACTTTCTTAGATGAAAAGAAAAAACAGGAAAGAGATTACAAAAGGACAAAATTCAGTTCCAAGCCTTTTTTCCCCGTTTGCTTCCCTTCAGTTGATGGTTATAAGCTTTTTGAAACAACAAGCATGACCACTTATGATTGTCTACAAACAAAGCTCCAAGGACCAACCTTTAACAAAAAAAAAAAAACTCATAATTTTTGAGATACTAATGATTTGTTTTTAGGCACTACTAAAAAAAAAATTAAAAAAAATGGAGTTTCCCACACAGAAAACCCTATATGCTGTATAGTGTTCACCAAAGGTCCATCGCTAACTTTCCAGGAGAAAACTACTTCCCAGACTGCATGTCCAGGCTTATTTCCGATGCACTTCCGAAGGTGCAGCTGTGCATCGGTCCGGCACTGGTCACTGAGATGCTTTTAGGCAGCACTAAATCTCTTCCACTCAATGCAAATGCCAGAAAATCAATGCCCTGGCTTGTAAAAAAAATGTTTAAAGAAACTATATGGAATGTATAATGTACTAAAACACTTAACAGAAGAATTTGCCTTACACATTCACTTCTCATAAAGTCACCATAGACTTTCTGGTAGGTCCTAGATCAGGAAAGTGTGCTGGATGGTTCTCTTTGTTTGCTTGATTTCTTTCGATGACAAAAATTACAGAATTTAGCTGACAAATTTTTCCAAAGGCTTCCTATTCCTTCCCTGGGTCAGTAAACCTATCCAGCCCCGTTTTCAGTAAAAGACACGTTTAAAATGTTCAAGACAAAGGAGTAACCTTGTCCTCGCAGTGAATTTTGCTTCTCTTTGCAGGATCTGTACTTGCTTTTTATAGCCTGTCATTTCATCTGGGTATTATTTCCCGGTCACTTTGCCAGGTGGGAAGAGGCAGCGAATGCAGTGCTGTCTGTCAGACCTTTAATGATGCTTCAGGGATTTGATAAAGATACAAAGCAGTGTCTGCAGAAAGAGGCTTCTTCCCTAATTACACCTGCAAAACAAGCTTCTCTCCCTCTCTCTCTCTCTCTCTCTCTCTCTCTCTCCTCTCCTCTCCTCTCCTCTCCTCTCCTCTCCTCTCCTTTTTTTTTTTTTTTTTAAACCTTTGCCAGTGAAACTGGTGTGTACGAAACAGTTTGGAATCACAAGCAGAAATCAAGTTCTCCTGTGTTTCTATAACACACGGGCTCTACCCTCATCCTGACCGTAATGTCTGAAAGAGAGATATTCTTTATTCTTTATTACTATCGAGAGGGAAACAGAAGGAAGAGTATTTCATCACTGAATCTTTATCCTCAACTCACCTTTAACTCTAAGAGATTTCACCTGCGTTACTAAGACCCGAGTTCTCTGATCTTTTACACTTTTCTCCTAAGGACCTATTCACCAATGGAACACGGTGATAGGAGATGAACAAAAGTAAATTAGAAACGTTTTTTTAAAAAGCAATAGAAAACTCTCCCCTTTTCTCTTGATGTTTACACCACTCTGACTAGTCATGGTTTTATCCTTGTCAACTTTCCATGAGAGAGCATTGCGCTAAGCCAGGGCAAGCAGCAGCATACTGTTCTATGTTGTTTTGAAAGTGTGGGCTCCCTCTCTCCCGGGTTATAAAGCTGGGCTGCTGCAACCTGACAAGCAAATGGCACATGCCTGACAGTGGCGTCTCTTACTAATGGGCCTCGGACTTTGTAATGACCGCCAAGGACGCTACTTAAACATTTGATTACAGAGGACAACAGCAGTCTGGGGAAATACTTTCATGCAGGATTGTATTATGTCTTGAATAGAATAAGGCTGCCCCTCTTAAGTGCCCAGTAACCAAAACTACAATCTGGGTAGGACCCCAATCATCCGATGGCAGTGAGAGGTGAGCACTGTGAATGTCTAAAGACTTGATGCAGTATCTGGGAAGAACCGACTGAACTACAGACATGGGGAGATGTAGTTAAGGAAGAAGAGATGGGGATGGGGATTGCTGAGAGGCAGAGGGGAACTGAAAGGTGAAGAGAGATAACGGGAAGATGCTATGGGGGAAAGAAAGACATAACATCATACTCACTGCTCTATGGTAGTCACACTTACATGAATAAATGATGATCTGATATTTTAATCTCAAAAAACGTTAGAAATAAACTGAATTTAAGTTATATTCAAGCATGTCCTGAAGATGCTAAAGTTTGCCCCCCCCCACCCCAGATTTCACAATCCAGCTAGAAGGAGTTGCTATGAGAGCACTGATTCATGCCAGCAGTTTGCCAGATCTTTTTACTCATCTCTTCAACGCCACCCGAAGCATCCCAGTCACATGATAGGTTTAGACCAAACCATGCAATTAGAGCGCAGAGAAGAAAAGAAAGCAGCTGCATGCTCTGGAGAACATTTTGTAGGACCTTGAGCCCACCCCCTGGCCTTTAGTCATCACCATCTCTCTCTCTCTACTTACAAAGTTTAGGAGCAGTTTGGAGATTAGTTTCTGTTGTTTGTGGCTGAGTTGCTGACTTGGGTGTTCTCACCTCAGGGTTCCGAGTGGGGGGAGGGAAGGACGGTGCAGTGGACGGCAAGAAAGAGAAGGCGAAAACATGGTTCTTCGGGGTGGGCACCGAGGACGCTTCAGAGGACGCCAGAGCATCATCGGCCACTTGCAGTGTAACTCGCACCTCGGTTTCAGACCGAGCTCTGGAGGCAGGTGAAGTGTATGCCTCAGATGCTACCCACACCGCTGAGGCAGCACTTGGATCCAAGGAGATAACAGGGTCCTGGCCTAACCCCCCAGGGTCAAGGTGGGTGGGGGAGTCATACTCAAATATCTTGTCCACAAAGACCCACTTGAGGCCGGCGATGCAGAGGCAGAGGCTGACCAGACAGGCCAGAATGGGGACAATGCAGATCTTTTCCGAGTTGAGACAACCCCGCAGGCGCTCGGCTTCCAGGCAGACGCAGCAGGGCACGGCCAGGCCCACCAGGCCGGGGCTTCTCCCGTCTTCAGTCTGGGTCTCTGGCATGTCTTCTGCGGCCGGAAGCCCATCCAGAGACGGGTCTGCACTCAGCTGAGTGGAGGGGCTGGAGGACCTCTCGGGGGCCCCCTCAGACATGTCTGGGGAATAGATCTCCATCGGCTCACCTCCAGAAGGCCTGGCCTCTCTCACGGTCCATTACCATGCAGAGCCCCCCCCAACCAAATGAGACAGCATCTTACAGGGGGAAATCGATAAGTCGTCCAAGTCCAAGGCCATTATCACAAGCAAAGAGGAGTTCAGGAGGCAGGAAGGCGGAGGGGGGAGAGGAAAGCCTCTAGCAACTACCAACTAAAAGTATAATGTAATTCTTTACTGCTGTGTTGGGGGCCACTTTGGCAGTTCTTTTTAAATGCTTCTCCCAACCATCCCGGCTGGTCCAGCGGACAGGGGCCAGAATAGAAAACCCAGCTGACGGTGGGTGGATTAAGTAAACCAGTAGCCCAGACTGAAAGGCATGTTCCTCACCTCGAGCATCTGAAGCTGGTCTCCGCTTGGATGGAGAAAGCAACTGTCATGCAGGAGAAGTAGGAGCAGAAGCAGGACCAGCGCTGGCGGCGGCGGCGGCAGCAGCGGTGGCGGCAGGAGAGGCAGCAGTGACAGTAGCAACAGCATCCTGTAGTGTTAATGCGACGGCGGAGCGGGGCTGAATCATTATAGAGCAGCAGGTGCCTGCCCTCGGAGCATCACTGCAAGCAGCATCCTCGCAGGGGACCGAAGGGAAGAGTGCGGCCAGGAGGGGCGGTGACTCCCCTCCCCGCCCTGCCTCCGCCCTCACCCCCCAACCACTCCTCTTTGTGCTTCTGGAGCGCTCATTCACTTTCTTCCTCTGCTGCTCTCCCTTGCTTCAGAGTCTCTTGCTCTTCCTTTCCCCTCCTCTTCCAAAGACGGTCTCTCCTCTCTCTCTCTCTCTCTCTCTCTCTCTCTCTCTCTCTCTCTCTCTCTCTCTCTCTCTGTCTCTTTCTTTTTTTTTTTTCTCTCCCTCCTCTCCCAACCCCCACAGCCTCCTCTATGCGCACTCCAGAGCTGCTGGCTGGGCTGAGTAAAATCAGGATCCCCAGCCGCACAGGACTGCCAGTGACTTCCTATGTTATCCAATTAGAAGGAATAAAGGCCATCAAATCAAAGAGAAGCAGGCAGGCACCAGTTAAGCTTCATCCCCATGGCCCCCACCCCTTCTCTTTTTCTCTTTTTCTCTGCAAAAACCGCCCCAGTCTTCCACCCCCCCAACCCCCCTGCCTTGTTTGCTTTCAGTCTTGCTGGCTCTTTCCTTCACCCACGGTAGGGTCAGAGAAAAGCCAGCAATCAATGCTAGCAATCTAACAAAGCTGGGATAGGGTGGAGGCTGTAGGTGGGACCTTATGGGTTGGACCTGAGGCTTGGCAAAGTCTGATATCTGATTCCTCCCCAGAGAGGTGAGCTTTGCAACAGCAATCTCTCCTGCCTGCTGCTGAGAGCTCGCGTTCCTTCCCCAGCCCTCTAATAAGTTTTGTTCACCACAGAGGACTGCTATTACCGGATTTTCAACCAACAGTTAGGATGTTTTTTGCTAACCATGGACAGCTCTGCCTGCAGTCCTTTGCATAAAGATGGTGTGAGTCTCTGCAATGCCAGGTGCAAAGTGCTGAGTGTGTGCTGGAGGAGGGGGGCTGCGGGGCAGGGGAGAGTATATACATATAATCCTAACTCCGGTCCCCTTTAAATTACCATTTCCCTGTCCCACCCACAGCAGCCCTAGTCAAGCTAATAAGAAACACTGGTAAGTAACAGAGTTACCCAGGGAGCAAAGGCTAATACTTCATTCTGAAATTAGCCTTCACTGTGACTCCACACTGCGGGGGTTTGAATTCCCTAGGCGAGGTAATGTATACCACATGTCCATGGCTATAACTGCACTGCAAGAGCTAAGAAGAGTTTTTTGTGTGTGTGTGAGAGAGCATGCCTTTTGGGGTTAGGTTTCAATAGTTTTACCTTAGATAGTTTCAATGCTAATTTTTTCCCCTTTTTTAGACAGCAGTCCTTAAGAGACCAAAAGAGATGCACTATCCTTAACAGAGATAGGCTCCCCTGAACTTGCCGATCATTGCACATCAATGCACACCGTTTGCATCTGGCCCTTTAACCTACGCTGTGCTGTGACTGGACGGTGAATGGTTTCCAAGGAAGCATGTTGCTCACCTATGTCAACAGGAGACTTAAAAATGCTCTCTAAATCTATATTATGTAACCATCATATGGAGCAATAACATTTAAGGCTTGAGTCCTGAGAAAATCCGCTTTAAGCACATTCAATTTTGTGTAGTGCAATCTTCACTGCTTCAGATTATTTTTCAGCTTTTAAGTGGGCATGGAATTAGAATATTATTATTTCTTTCAAAATGAAATTAGTCCATAATTATAGTTAGAAGAAGAATAACATCTTAAAATGTGTTTTCAGTAATATAGCTAACAGCCACAATTATTTAAATGCCCAAACCAATTTAAATAACCATGATTATGACTATGACAAGCTTATGAGCAAAATGAGCTATCCTATAGTTCACCTGTACATAACCTGCACTTATATCCCAGTAACTGGTGTCTTAAAATAATTCTTATGCTTAATTTCTAGCTTTAACTATTTGATTTGAAAGTAGTGAGAATTTTCTTAAGGATTCTATTCTAGCAATAGAAATGAAATTTCACTTCATTGAAAATCTATATTGAAGCATTTACAGTATTCATACTGAAAGGTATTAAGATTTTAATTATCAATATTCATGTAAATATTCAAAACCAATACAAGCAATGAATTGCTTATACTAAGTTAGGGTAATTTATAATTCCTTTAAATATCACTCAGGCTAAAAAGGTGGCACTTAACTCCTCAATTCTACCTCCAACCAATATTTCACTCAAGTATAATAGATTGGCATTTCATCCACAGACAAGGTCATCTAAATTTCAAAGACCAAAATGGGATTCAGATAGCCCAAGTCAAACAGGGAAAAAAATATCAATTATAGTAACCTGTAGTTAAGAAAAGTGGTCCTTAATTTGCCCAAATAACAACTACTCACCTCTCCTTAACCATTAGGATCAAACATACATATCAGACAAAGATATTAATAAGCACTAGCTGTAATATCAAAGATACTCAGCATTTAACAAAGGAAAACAACGTATCATACATAGGCTAGAACAAAACAGACAGACCTGTGGGCTGGCACAGCTGTGCTCTCTCCTGGACTACACTACTCAGACTGTGGCATGTGTCCATGGACCTGACCCCTATAGCATCTATAGAAGCTCAGATCAGCTTGCAGAAAGCCTGCATCCTATAACGTTGTTTCCTACCAAAATGGAAGGTGACTATAATGGAGGAAAGGGAGTAGGACAGCATGTAAAGAATAAAAGGAATTCTCCTTGAGTTCTGTCCTTGAGAATAGGAGCCAGAAGTTGCCTTTAACCCTTTATCAAATCCTCTTGAGCAATAATGATTTGAGGAAGGGTAGTGTATATGGGATCAGAATTCCTTTCAGATAAAACATGCCTGTTAGTAGGAAGAAATGCAAAGAGATATCAATATAACTCTTTAGACTTCAATCCTATTTCAATGACTCCTTAAAAATGAACAAGAGACAATTTTTTACTACCTTTTAAAAACCATATTACCACCTCCTTCATAACAACAAAAGTTACATTTTTTGAGCTCCATCTTTGTGCCAGGAACTCTACCTGGTTCTTAACATTCATTGTCTTTTTTTTTTTTTTTTATCATCACAAATCCTGTACAGTACCTATTAACAGACTGAGGCAGCTTAGGTCACTTGGCCGTGGACACAGAGCTATTTAAGGTACAGGATCAAGATCTGAGCAAGTCTGACTCATGCTATTTCTGATGAAAAATATTGCATCTCTTTTTTAATCAAAAGAACACATGTGATTATGTATTGCTTACCTATCACATCAATGGGAGAATAAGCAAACCAGAAAGTGAAACACTGAAATAGCCATGACCTCAATGTAACTAGTAAACAAACTTAAAGTCACCTGGTTTCCAAAATAATAGCCCTCTAAATTTTTGCCTGCTGATTTTCAGACATTGTAAGCATTAAACACAGGCCATTTAAATATTATCTATTTATAGTTTAGATGAAATGAACTCTTCAGCAGTCCCAGTTTGAGGATTTTCTTTGGAAAGCTATTTCAGTTCTGTATTGCTATGAGATAAACTGTCCAGAAATATCAACCATTGTATATTATCTTACTAGACTGCAGGTTTACTGGGTTCAGCTGAGTGGTTCTTCTGCTCCACTTGATGGCAGCTGGGGCTGAAACAGCTAGAGATGCAATTGGGCTGAAACATTGAAGATGGCTCACACACAACTGGCAGCTGATGCCAGATGTCAGCTGGGCGCCCAGCTGGGATTGGCAGACAGTGCACCCACATGTGGCCTCTCTAAGTGGCTGTGCTTCTCACAGTGTGGCAACTGGGTTCTGAGAGGAAGCATTCCTAGAGGGAGGAAGTGCAAGCTACCAGGCCTCCTAAAGTCTTGATCTGGAATCGACACAGGTTATTTCCACTGCATCCTACTGGTTAAGCAGTCACAGTGTCACTTGAGATTCAAGGATGGGACAAATACATCTTTATGGACGAGGGGCAAAGAATCAAATAATCTACCATAGAAGATAAGAGAGTAAATATTAGCACGTCAATCCAAGTCAAGAGCAGACAAAGTAATAAAGATAATTGACTTTTCAAAAACACTATTTCTGATTCACTTACATAATATTCCAGATTCTTTCTAAACCAGCTTCTCTGAAGAAAAAGTCCATTATATCATCAGATAAAAGATATTCAAATTCCTCTGCTACCTCAATTCAAACTAAGCTCTTTGGTTCTGCAAGAATTTTATGGATTCTATTATCAGAAGTATTTAGCATAGCTCCATCAGATGAAAGAGGCTGATAAAGCCATTTTGCTTTTGACCATATTATTCAAACTTCTTTTCTCTTTTTTATTTTTTCCCTAGTATTTTGGCTATTTCACTCTGAAAATATTTATCCCTGAAGAAGTTTATCCTTGCTCCTAAATTTTATGGCTGAAAAAGTAGAATTTACTTTGGGGTATCTAATGCCACAATGATAGCAGTAATTTTATTTTGGGATGACAATCTTTGGAGATGACTATGTAGAACTTACAATGATTTATTTGCTAATGAATTGTGAAATCATGATTTCACAAGAAACCTTCAGGAAGGACCTAAAGGTAACCTTAGAAATGTGCTGCTTCCAATGAGAAAGAGAGAGGACAGAGTATGCTAATGGATGATCCCTTTGCCTCTTCCCACCCATCTGAAAACTAACCTCCAGCCCAAGTCCCTGGAGCCCTTCTTGCTTCCAAGTCACAGACTCAGCATGTCCTAACCATTACATTATTGGGGCTTATCTTCACAGTTGGTGTTATTATTTAAATATGTCTTGTATATAGGACTGAAGAACACAATTCTTTGAAGGTCGGATCTATCAATACCTAGTTGTCCCAAACCTAGAGCTATGCTATTTCTTCAATACATTTTATTTGGTTTTATTTTCATTGAGATTGAATTATATAGATGATGCCACTTCTAATAAATTGGCAAGATATTTTTCATACCATCTGCCTATTTAAAATACCTTCTATAATCTCCCCCATTTCTTCAGATATTTTAATGTCCAGTCCCAATGCATCCTATAAAATTTTTCTGATTGATCCAAAATAAGCCTTCCATGATTGTATCTTGTTCTAGTGAAACTCAGTTACCCCAATTATGATTAACTCAATCATTACAGATCTTATCAGTGGATGAAAACTTGGG